TTTAAGTAAGAAGCATAATGATATATGAATCTTAGGATAAACTATAACCTGTACGATTTTAACATTTTAAGGTAAAGAAACATTAAATACTAATTTTTATGTGTAAAGTCTCCATAAAGAAAACATTATTTTAATTTGTAAGCAATATTCTTTGTTGTACCTTTTCAAAATAATATAAATGCTTCTTAACTAAGAGTACTAGTCAAAATTATATTGATTAAACTGAATAATTCAAGCTATGACTTGAAGAGCAAATTCTTTCTTCAAATATATAAATATAATATATTAATTCATTCTTTTGCCAGAAAAATAACAAATTGCAAAAAAAAATGTTCAAAACAAGAAGAATCTTTTGATTTCAATAAACATTATATTTAAAAGGAACTATATTTTCATAACATCACAATAAATAATTTAATTGCAAATTTAATCTCTGACTTTTCTAAAAATGTTCAAAAACAACTATCATGATAAAAATAAAGGTATTATTTTGTAATAATATAATGCCATTGTATTAGTCCATTTTCACAGTTCTCTAAAGAAATACTCAAAATTGGATAATTTATAAAGGAAACAGGCTTAACTGACTCACAGTTCCACATGGCTGAGGAGGCCTCAGGAAGCCTACAATCGTGGTGGAAGGGGAAGCAGGCACTTCTTATGTGGTGGCAATTGAGAGAGCATGTGTCAATGCAGGAAAACCTATCATTTACAAAAGCATCAGATCTCGTGAGAATTCAGTCACTATCATGAGAAAAGCATGGGGGAAATCACCCCCATAATACAAACAATTTCCTCCCACCACAAGTGGAGATTACAAGTCTCTCCCTCAACACATGGGGATTATAATTTGACATGAGATTTGGGTAGGGATACAGAGCCAAGCCATTTCAGACATGATTGAAACTCTTAATCTTATAACTAGGATATGTCTCTTATACTGTACTACAAACAATATGAATTAGAAGTTTGAAAATAATTTCATTGGTTCCTATACCTAAACTGTATACCAAATTCATACCAAAATTTTAACAATGTTTGTCAAAATGTTGGTTGAAACTATAGATGAGGGAATTTGAAGATATTGTTATAAATACAATTTTAATTAGGTATTTGCATAAATAATCCTTTTTTGAGAGTTAAATGTTTTTCCTCTATCAACTTGTGTTTATTAAACACTTCAGAAACTTACTGGTTATGTATTGTGGCTGATGCCTGTAATGCTAGCAGTTTGGAGGCCTAGGCAAGTGGATCACTTGAGGTCAGGGGTTCAAAACCAGCTTGGCCAACATGGCAAAACCTTTCTCTACAAAAAACAGCCTGGTGTGGTGGTGCAAGCCTGTATTCCCAGATACTCAGGATGCTGAGGAAGTATAATCACTTAAAGCCAAGAAGCAGAGGTTGCAGTGAGCCAAGATCACACCACTGCACTCCACGCTGGATGACAGAGCAAGCCTCTGTCCCAAAAAACAAACAAACAAAAAAAGCCAACTACTTTTTTGTGTGTACAATGACCATTCTTCTGTCATAAATAAAGAAGTAAAAAGTTTGGTGACCAAATGTGCTTTGTTTTGTTTGTATCACTGAGAGTTGTGCTCTATTATAAGAACTGTTTACCCCTAAAATATCTGCTTAAAATTTTGTGGAGCTAGTCTCAAAGATAAATTTTATAGAATATAGTTCACTATAACTTTGTACAATTTTGGTGAACCATATTTATTTGTGACCTTCAATAATATGGTAATTTATTTAAATATGCTTTACTAATTAAGAATATTTAAAATAAGAGTGCACTTAAATTACTATTACCAATTATCTATATAAGAAATTATTGAAATGATCAATTACCATAATCAACAATCATTACTGAAATAAGATAATAAGCATCTTCCAAATACCGACTGAATACATTTTTTAAATGTTTTTCCTAGAGGATTTAAATTTGTTCCCTAAGCTCTTTCCATTAGAAGACTGATGGATCAAAATGTCTATACCATAACACAAACCAAATAATGTCAATAATATTTTTCATGTAAAAATGGTAAGTATGTAAGAAAGAAGTGTATATATTTTATATTTCAAGTATGAGTTGTATTATATTTTTGCTTGGATAATAGAAATGAAAAGAATGTGAAGGAATCCTGGTCCCATACCTTCACTTAAGGTTGTTCAAATAGAAGCAGATAGTTGGCAATTATTTTAAGCTCTTCAGGGATCCACATTTTATAACCTATATTATTAGTCACTCTGTTACCTGTTTCTTAGTGAATTAAGATGTTTTTTTCTGAATATCAAATGATTCCTTCTCACTTTTAGTTGATCATTTTCTCTTAGTGACTACCATTATAATTATTATAATAAGCTATCTTTCATGTATTCCTAGGTAGGGATTACAGTGCCAATCGTCTTTCTGTTTTCTGAAGTGACCAATGTAGCATTTCTTTTCCTATTTTGTGGGCATTGCTCATTGTGATGGTTAATTTTAGGTGTCAACTTGAGTGGATTAAGGAATACCTAGAAAGCTGGTAAAGAATTATCTGTGGGGTGTGTCTGTGAGTGTGAGACAGGCATAGGAGACAGGCAGGTGAGTCAGTGGACTGAGTGGGGAAGATATGTCCTTAGTGTGGGTGGACACCACCAATTGTCTGGGAGAGAGTATAGAAGAAAAAGGAGGAGGAAAGGCAATTTTGATCTCTCTTTCTCCTGGAGCTGGAAAACCTTCTTCTCCTGCCATAGGACATCGGAACTCTGGGTTCTTTGGCCTTTGGACTCCAGAACTGATACTACTCTTCCCCACTGCAGCCACCCCCACCACTCCCTCAGGCCATTAGCCTCAGTCTGAGAGGTGTAGCATTGGCTTCACTGGTTCTGAGGCCTTGGAATATGGACTGAGCCACACTACCAGCCTCAATGGTTCTCCAGCTTGCAGGCAACATATTGTTGGAGTTCTCAGCCTCCATAATTTTAACGGCCAATTTCCCTAATAAGTCCCCTCTTTGCTTTCTGTCTATCCATCAGTCCATCCATCCATCAATCTATCTGTCTAATCACATTTGTTCTTTCTCTCTGGAGTACCCTGATTAATATACACATTTACCCAAGTTTGGTTTTGTGTTTTTCCCCCTACATGCTTTAATGAATAAAGTGAGCCAAACTGAATAGCATGTAATTCACAGACAGTACTGCAAACAGAAATCATTCTAGATATCTGAAGCAATGCCACTACTAATAAATAAGGCTTTTTTTACTTCCCAAATTTTGGAAAGAAAGAGAACTCATAGAACATCTTTGGAGAAAACCACCCTATAGCTGCAATCCAGAACTCAGAAAGTCTCACAGTACCCATATTTTCTCCTAATTCATCTCTCATGAGCCTCAATGCAGAGTCTGGAAAAGAGTGTTAGGTGTAATTGCTGCAATTGCTTATCTAGTCTCACCTTTCTACAACATTGCCTGCTCTCATCAGCAGCAGTAAGCAGATGCCCCCGTTTCATTGCCCTCTTCCAAATCTCACATAAGTTCTTATGATGATTAAAACTTAATTTCTGAACAAGGATTATGTCTGCTAATTTGTGAAGATAGAGGCAAAATATGCAAAGATTGGAAAGAGCTTCTCTAGCAAGGTAGAGCAATGATCAAATTGGGCCAAAATGAGAGTGCTTAGGTTCAATAGGAGCTGTGGTTAATAGGTGTTTGCTCTGTGATCTAATGTGCTAAACCACATTAGTGTCTTTGGCTACTATTACTTGATTTAATAAAGCCTTAATGGGCTAAGAAATTTCATATATGAACTAATTGGTTTTCTATATTATGTTGACAATAGTCTTCTATTTGCTAATCATGAATTACCTAATTAATTTATTCCTGAAAATTTGACAGCATACAATTAAAATGTTATTGCAAATTAGTAGAAAATTAGTGGGTTATTTATTGGCATTTGGGGAAAAATAAAATATTTTAGGACAAGTTAAAACAATACTTCAATCACAAATAAAAATTAATTCCAGAAGATAAAAATAAATACTAAGGCATAAGAATAAAATATAAGTAAATATTAATCTTATAGAAATAGATCTTTTGAATATCTTCTCAAAACCAAAAATCATAGAGGAAAACACTTTAATTGATTGCTTTATAAATATTACTTTCATACTGGAAATGAATTAACTTTTGATTGTATTAAAAGACTATCAACAAATTATAAATGAATCTTGGAAATATACATAGAAAGGCTAACTGTACTTTTATATAAATAACTTTTCATATTAATTAGAGAATATTACTCATAAAAGAGAAAAAAGATATAATACAAAAGAAGAAGTGTACAAATATCTTACATAGAACAGTTCAAATCTCTGTAATAACACCTATGCAAGTTTCAAATATGTAGGGATACTTTCATTACTTAATTGAAACACATGTATCATCTGGTGGGTATTAGTGTTGGCAGAAATCAATTTTGTAATTATATGGAATAACTTATAGATGAACATTTCCTTTGAAAGAGAATTTTGAAAGAGATTTTAAAAATTTATCCTAAGTACATATTTGCCAATATATGCAAAAATGTTTCTATCAAGATGTTCATTTTAAGGGAATATTAATTAGAGTGAAAATTTTAAAACAACCTGAATGTTCAAAAAACTGGACTAGTAAAATAAATCAAAGTGCATTCTTACACTATTTTCTTAACATTTTACTTTGGAGAGATACATATGTGTGTATGTATCTATATTTAAATATATTCTTGAAATAGTGTTATTATGCAAGGTTGTAAAGTAGCTTCTCAATAGTGTAAAACAAGTGATATTTTTCTCTGTCTTTTTTACCCTGTGTGGCTCTCTCTCTCTGTTTGGTCAAAACAAAGACTAAAAGACTGTATATCAAAAAGTTAGTGGTGGTTATTTCTGTCTGTTGAACCATTTTCTTCATTTTTCTAGTTTCACTATTGTTTAAACTTTTATTAATTTAAGGGACTTGGATGAATCTGGAAGCCATCATTCTCAGCAAACTGACACAAGGACAGAAAACCAAACACTGCATGTTCTCACTCACAGGTGGGTATTGAACATTGAGAACATGTGGACTCAGGGAGAGGAGCATCACACACTGGGGACAGTTGGGGGGGTAGAGGAGAGACAGTAGGGGGTGGGTAGGATATGAAGGGTGGGGAGAGATAACATGGGGAGAAATACTGGATATAATATACACCTAAAGTAAACTAAAATTTTTTTTTAATTTAATGTATATTTATTTGTTAATTTGTAAAAAATCATTTTCATTTTAATAAAATTTTACTAAGGAATTATTTAGCAGATAATTGAGTAAATTAACCATTGACTTACCTATTCTGAGAAGCAACTAGCAAATAATATCAACAAATCTAAATAAATACAAGTAAGAGCAATTTAAAATAATTAAAAGTAGGAGAAAAAAATAACATATGACAGAAATTACCAAAATGTAACAGAAAATGTTTTATAATAACAAAATGAAAAATACATACATTATATTTCCTTAAGTTGATTCAATATGACGTTAAAAAACTGAGCAACAGTTTTTTTTATAAAAAACTGTATAAACATTAATAAAATATTGTTACATATAAAAGTGATGTATTACATTTATAGGGAATTATTTTTAAAATTTTAAAAAGAAGGATTATATTTCTTCTCAATAGTATAGAAAAAGACATCACTATGCAAACAGTTATATGAACCCTGTTAAAAATCTATATTTTCAACCTGACAAAGTTAGCAAACACAGAAAATATAACATGGTAAATGTCATATTGGAAATAGTGTTTTAGGAAAATTGATTTGGTTGAAAGACAAAAAATAAATTATATCTGGGAGAAGTTAAATGAAGAAACCAACTAAGAGTATCTGAATTAAAACTGAGTTTAATGAAAAAGAGGAATAAAGAAGTCATTTTGAGAAAAAACATAGAACTCAGTAGTAAGACATTGGACTGAATTACGTTAAATAACCCTGGATAAATCATGTATGATCTCCATGATCAGTTACTTCAAATGCAAAATCTGAGTTGCAATGCATTGTTTGTTTTAAAGTTGTGGTTCTCAAAATTCCCAGAAGTAGATCATTCTAAATTAATATAACAACTGTCTTGGTGTGTATGTGATGTGGCAGTAGGGTAGAGTTGAGGGGAGAGACAGAATGATTGAAATTTCCATTCCTAACTTTAGCTGAAATATGTCAATATTGTTTTAAGAAAAATAGTACTCTAAGGTTAATAATCAGAAATATCATCATTGTGACATACATCTTCCCAAGTCTTTTCCTTTATCCAATCTTTAATCTGTTTATTCTGGTGTTTACTCCCATAATTACAAATAATGTTCTTCAAATATCCTTTTATGTTTATCAGTTTCAGGCATTTTTTAAACTGATTTTCTACTATGGTAATAAAAATTAGTTATCTTAATCACTACCACAAAGTTCTTACTTAACTTCTTTCCTCCTCCTATTAAAGTACATCTCAATATTTGATTAAACAAATTTGTAATATTTACCTTATATTGACTATAATTGACTATGTGATACAGAAATATTTGTTTCTTTTTTCTTTGTTATTTTTGATGTTCACAATCTCTTGTTCTCTCTGAATTTTCTATCATTCCTTCTAAGAAAATTGTAAACCTTGGTGAATGTTGCATTAAACATAGTAAACACATTAGGGACTCTGTAAGTATTTTTTATTTTTTAATTTTCTTGAAGACCTTCTTGAGCCCTCTCTCCAATCCTTTGAGCTAGACTAGTTGATTTAATACTACATCTTTTTCTTTCTTGGTTTATATCCTACTTTCGTGGATAACAATCTAAACTTCTGAAGATACATTTTTTGATAATTTATGTTACATACATTTTTTGATAATATATTTCAGAAAATATATTTATTTAAGCCACACTTTTAATTGATTATTTACATGTGTTTAGATATCTAAGTTAAAAAATGTTTTCCCTCCAAAATAGGCATGAATCTATATTGTCTTCTAGCTTCCAATGCTGCTGTTCTGATTTTTGATCCCTATATTTGAACTGTTCTATTTTCTCTGAAAGTTATGGCTTTTTATGTCTGTAGAACTTTGAAAATTTTTTGAAAAAATATCATGGGGTAGGTAATAGTGCAAGACTTCAGAGACACTTGACCAACACTTTTAGTCAGAAAACCAATGTCTTAAAATTAAAAAAATTAATTGACTTCTAATATTTTTCCTTCTTTTATTTTGTTGTTCGGATTTTCTATTTTTTTTTTTTTATTATCTGGCTATTGATATTCTTTTTTAAAAAAATACTTTAAGTTCTGGGATACACGTGAAGAACATGCAGGTTTGTTACATAGGGATATACTTGCCATGGTGGTTTGCCGTACTCATCAACCCATTATTTACATTAGGTATTTCTCTTAATGCTATCCCTCCTGTATCTCCCTGCATCCCTGATAGACCCTAGTATGTGATGTTTCCCTCCTGTGTCCGTGTGTTTTCATTGTTCAACTCCCACTTATGAGTGAGAAGATGTGGTGTTTGTTTTTCTGTTCCTATGTTAGTTTGCTGAGAATGATGGTTTCTAGCTTCATCCATGTCCCCTGCAAAGGACATAAACCCATTCTTTTTTATGGCTACATGGTATTCCATGGTGTATATGGGCCACATTTTCTTTATCCAATCTACCATTGTTGGGCATTTGGATTGGTTCCAACTCTTTGCTATTGTGAACAGTGCTGCAATGAACATATGTGTGCATGTGTCTTTATAGTAGAATGAGTTATAATCTTTTGGGTATATACCCAGAAATGGGATTGCTGGGTCAAATGGTATTTCTGGTTCTAGATTCTTGAGGAATCACCACACTGTCTTCCACAATGGTTGAACTAATTTGCACTCCCATCAACAGTGTAAAAGCTTTTGTATTTCTCCACATCCTCTGTAGCATCTGTTGTCTCTTAACTTTTTAAAGATCACCATTCTAACTGGCATGTGATGGTATCTCACTGTGGTTTTGATTTGCATTTCTCTAATGACCAGTGATGATGAGCTTTTTTTTTTCCATACGTTTGTTGGCTGCATAAATGTCTTCTTCTGAGAAATGTATGTTCATACCCTTTGCCCACTTTTTGATGGGGATGTTTGTTTTTTCTTGTAAATTTGTTTAAGTTCTTTGTAGATTCTGGACATCAGCTTTTTGTCAGATGGATACATTGCAAAACTTTGCTCCCATTCTGTAGGTTGCCTGTTCACTCTGATGATAGTTTCTTTTGCTGTGCAGAAGCTCTTTAGTTTAATTAGATCCCATATATCAATAACTGATAATGTATTTAATTTTCATCTTCTATTTTGCATTGATTTTATTTTTATGCTAATTTTAATATTTTTTCTGCTAATTTTAATATTTTTCCTGAGCTGTGTCTCCCATTTTTTAGGATGTTCGATGAGACTTGTGAATGGAAGAATTTATTATAGAAAATTCTCTCTGATCATTTTCACTGTGGCTTATAACTTTTAGAATCTGCATGCCTTTCTCTTGGGCCAATTTATTTCATGAGAAAGATTTTCCCCAACTTCCAAATAAAAGTGATAAATCTGGCTGCCAGAATGCTTGAAATGAAGATGGGATATGTAAAGAAAGAAGAATAAAAGACTAGATGATCTTTACATTCTAGCATTCTTTGCATCCAAATATTAAAACTAGGTTAGTGATGTAATAAAGCTACACATAACAGAAATGTGGAAATTATTAAAGTTATTTTAAGAGCAAGAATAAGCTTTTTACTCTTGAATTTGAAATTATGTTGAGAAATCTAAGTGAGTATCAGTCAACTGTAGATAAGCATGGCTGTATGGGTGCTATTTAAACAGGACTTAATTTAAAGTTGAAAGATGCGATGTTTATTATTAAATACTTATCAGTAACTTATGCTGTGTGCAGCCATTTTAACAGCAGATAGTATTACTTTTCAGTACACAAAGATTTCTTAGGAACAAAACAAAAGCAATAAAACAAAGCATATCTGTGCAACTTCTCCTCTTAAATACATGTATAATATTCTGTTAGTCATTAATGGTAGATATTATCTCAAAGTATTATCTTTATATCAAAGCAAAGAAAATACTAGAAAACAAAGTTTAAGACATAGAATTTACTGATAACTTAGTGCAAAATCCGATCTATTTAATCTATTAATACAAAGACGATAGAGTCTTATTTTCACATGCAATGTTTAGTAGAGCCAGAACATCAGGGCAGTGTGCACAGAGGGCATTCTTCCTCAGTGATGAGGATCATCCTCTGCATTTGGCCACTGCTACAGTTTAGATGTTCACTGTGATGCCATCTGTTAAGGTTGATTGTGTAGTGACCTTAGGCAGTCTGAAACCTGTTCAATTGAGCCCATAGATAGCATTCTGGGTGGGAACCAGAAGGACAGATGGTAGGGTTGGAGATGAGGAACTTGTTTGTTACAGCTGATGAAAATCATTCTTCTTGCCAAAGCCATTAAATGCTATATCCTTGGCACAGCATTTCTCAACAAATAGGGTGTCCCACTTGGTGGGTTAGCTGCAGGTGAACTGAAGCAATCAACAGTCCCTGACTATTTAGGTTTGTCTAGCTCTTTACTTTTTCATCCCTAATATCCTAAGATGAAAACAAGGTTCAGCAACAGGCAACAGTTTTTGCTCAGTTATGTAGTTTTAAAAATATACCTATACAATGGGAAGTACAACCAGACTATAACTTGGCAGCTAATTAGAAGTTTAGAAATATCTTTAATTGAATAAAATTAAATAGACAAAAAGCTTCTATAAGGAAACTGACTAAAAAACTCAAATAAATCAATTTGAGATATCCATGTACATGTTTAATGACTTCTCAATTCCAATTGTTTGAGAAAAATGTATTAAAATCATTTTACAGAATATAAAAGTGTATGTGGTTAGACAAGATAATTATTATGAATTGATTTTTGCAACTTGCAAAGTAGAAAGTTTTTCCCACCCACATAGAATTTCATAGTTGATAGCCTGGAAATGCTGTTATCAAAAGTATGAATATCTAAGCTATGTAAACTACAGAATTATTTTAAAGCTCTTTCTTAAGCATAAGATATTTAAAAGTCAAAGTCAACATAAAAAAGTGAATATTACAGAATATAATAACTTTTAGAATTTAAAAGAAAGCATGCAGTTTAAGAATGCCCTTCACCAATCAAATTAATTGTGTCCTGGGAGGTTACACTTAAAGCAAACCTAGCTCCTATGGAATCGGTATAATGTAATTCACAGCCAAGTCCTGTGAATGAAATGTTGGTTTTCTTCAGAATGTTTCTACTTCCTTTGATTATTGTTGACAATGTTACAGAAATAGTCCTGTATATGCTTCTTGTATCTATACATAAATATATTTTCTCTAGAAAATACTCAAGTGGAATTTTATTATAATAAAATAGGTGAATATTTAATACTAATATTTCCATAACTCCCCCTCAAGTGCTTCTACCAATTTAAGCTCATAGAATCTCTATGAGATTACAAAAATGAATACTTTATTAATAAATTTAAAGTTTGTCACGCCTTGGTCAAGAGTGTGATCCAAATATTTTAAAATATTTAATTGTTCTAATTTTTATAATTAATTTTGTAGAGAGGAGGCAGTGCAAAATGGGAGAATAGAAGCCTATACTGTTTGTCCCTTCTGCAGCTACACCAAATTTTAACAACTATCTGCACACAGAAAAGCACCATCACAAGCACCAAAGCTCAGGTAAGCAGTCACAGTACCTGATTTTAACTTTATATTGCTAAAAGAGGCATTGAAGAGGGTGAGAGAGACTGTCTTGAATTGCCACCACCACCCATCCTCCATCCCTGGCAGCAGCCTTGCAATGAGGAGAATCTGTTAATTTGGGGAAGGGAGAGTGCAGCAATTGCAGGACTTTACACTGAATTCAGTGCTGCCCTGTCACAATGGAGAACAAAGCTGGGCTGGACTCAGCCAGTGCCCACACAGGGAGGGGACACTTGGATCAGACCCAGCCAAAGGAAAGCTACCCATACCAGTGGTCAGAACTTGAGTGTTTTTGCAAGTCTCACCGCTACACTTCAAAGAAGTCTGGGGTGCTGGTAAACTTAAAAGACAGTATAGGACACAAGGATTATAATTGCTAGGTAACTTCTAGGGCTGAACTTGGCCCAGAGCTAGAGGACTAGGGTAGCAAGCAACCTAGGTTATCACCTGGTGGGGTGGCTAAGGGAGTGCTTTTGCTATCCTCCCTCAACCCCAGGCAGTGAAGCTCATGGCAACAAAGTGACTCCCTCTTCTTCCTCAGGAGAGGAGAGCAAAGAGTAAAGAAGACTCTATTTTGCATCTGGAATATCAGCTCAACCACAGTAGGATAGGGCACCAGGCAGAGTCATGTGGTCCGCATTCTAGGCTGAAGCTCACAGATGATATTTCTATACTCATCCTGGGCCAAAAGGGATCCCACTGCCTTGAAGGGAAAACCCAGTCTTGGCAGGATTCATGATCTACTGACTAAAGGGTCTTTGGGCCCTGAATAATTAGCAGTATTACACAGGGAATACTCCACTGGGGCAGGGCTCTGAGGTGTGCTGGATTCAGGTGCGACCCAATCCATTCCCAGCTGTGGTGGTTATGGAAAAAAAAAAAAAAAAAAAAAAAAAAACTCCTGTTTGAGTAAAGCAGGAGGAAAAGTAAAGAGGATTTTGTCTTATAGGTTTGGGACTAGCTCAGCCACAGTGAGATTGAACTACAAACTGGCTCTTAGTGTCTCTGAAACTGGGTCTGGCTCTTAGATAGCGTTTCTGAACCTTCTCTGGGCCAGAGGGGTGACCAAGCCCTAAATGGTGAGTCCCAGGCCTACCAGCATTCACCATAAGCTAACTGAACGGCTCTTGGGCTTTAACTAAACATCAGTGGTGGCCTGGCTGAACCCCCCATGGACTGCTGGTGGTGGTGGCCATTGGGAGAGGCTTCTCTACTCTTTTCAAGATAAAAACATGTTTATTGCACTCATAAGTTTCTTCCCCCCCCCCATTTATTTATTTTATTGCATTTTAGGTTTTGGGGTACATGTGAAGAACATGCAAAATTGTTGCATAGGTACACACGTGGCAGTGTGATTTGCTGCCTTCCTCCCCATCGCCTACATCTGGAATTTCTCCCCTTGCCATCTCTCTCCAGCTCCCCACCCCCCACCGTCCCTCCCCTATTTCCCCCCAACTAACCCCAGTGTGTAGTGTTCCCCTCCCTGTGTCCATGTGTTCTCATTGTTCAACACCCGCCTATGAGTGAGAACATGCGGTGTTTGATCTTCTGCTCTTCTGTCAGTTTGCTGAGAATGAT